CCATCGGCCTTAAAAACATTGGGATGGAGCAATACTCTGCCTGATACCAACACAGTTTTGCTGCAGCCTAGCTCCAAGACAGTGGCCCTTGGCAGCTCTGAAAACCCCCCACACACTCCCCCAGCTAGCCAGCCCCACAAGGCTCTGCTTGCCAGCTGCATCCAAGAGTGCACCCTTTCTACAACTGCTTCAGATTAATTGACTTCCATCTTTCCCCACTGGCTGTATCACTCTTGTAACCACGGTTACATGGGCCAGGCAGTTAATTGCCCCTTCAGCGTGCAGCTGTGGGCATCGTTAACACAGTGGCAGCAGCAGGGGAGGAATTAGAGATAATGATCAGTCTGGGTGGTGTCCCAGCTGTAGGGAGTTGCAGCACTCAAGGATGGCTGCCTTTTCCAGCTTGCTTCAAGCAGGGAGGGCTTTGCAGAGTTCTTGTTTACATTGTTTTTTTCAACCAGCAGAAACTCCATTCGAGTGGAAGAAGATTGTGTCATAATAGCTGGTATCTCCTTGATGGTTCAGGATTCAACCAAAGGCTTTTTATATGAGTTTTGTGTGTGCAATAAATGCAAAATTGGGGCACGAAGCACTAAGGCATTTAAGTTGCTGGCTCTTGCTCCATGGTAGCTTAAGGTGCCGGAGAGGGTCATGTGTTACACTTCATGTATTGGCCTTGGTTGGTGGAAGGCCCTGGTGCTGTATGGTCTCTTAGGTACAAATCTGCTGGTCATGAAGGGTAGATGGCCAGAGATCTTCCGTATGTCATCTACCATTTAGACAAGCATTGTACCCATTCTCTTGAGCAGACTGGCTGGGACATGCTATAGAAGAAATTATTCTTTATGTATGTTAGCGGAATTCCAAGCCTTTCCAAAATGCAACAGTACGCGGGAAATCCACTCTCTACCACCCAGTCAGGAGTGGTTTAGCAGAACACATTGTGCAGACTGTGAAACGTGGGGCAATGGAGATTTTTTTTAAAAAAAGTCTACATGTTATCTTTCCTCCATGAATTGCAGGTTGTAGGGGGGGGGGTCTCAGCCTGGGGTGCGAGAGGTGCCTCTCCCAAGGCGGAAGCCAAAGGATTGGGGCACTTTTTTTGCCCCAATAGGCCCCCCACGGCATGGAGCCAGCATGGCATCAAGAAGCACACACCAGACAGAACATATAAGGATCCTGAGAAACAATCTTCTCTACATACCTAGCAAATGCAAGTATAAATGTGAGTGAAGCTATGATCCAGCAAACAATTGATAAGTCATTACTAGTAAAGCTGCCCCAAACAAGCGGAAGGGGGAGGGGAATGCCCGATCCCGAAATGACTGAGTTTAAAGCGGGAGGCTGAAAGGGCGGCTCAAAGGAAGCGGATTGCGATGAAGTGTGCGGCGGATCAGTGAGAAAGCAATAAATTTCAGACTTACGGAGATTTCAGACTTTCCTCTAGTATAAACAATGACACAGCGGGAGGAAAAATGGCGTTGAAAGCAAAACTTAAAATACGAACTGCCAGCACAGCATCGACGGTCACTAGACCGGAAGTAACCACAGACTTTCCCAAACTGACTGCTGTAGCTTTGCGCCCTCTACTGGACCAGATGATCAACCTTAACGTCAAGCTGGAGATGTTGCAAAAGGAACTCAAAAAAATTTCAGCAAGAAAGAAATAAAGCGGATGTTCCTGAAGCAACAACAGAAAGCAGAAGATGGACCTGAGAAAGTGGAGGAGAACAAAGACACAGAAGAAGAAGAGAAAGATGGGGGAAGGCTGTGATACCCTCTCGGAGAGTCTGGCAAACTCTTTAAATCTGAAGCAGAACTAAAAATTAATTTGGACTGATAAGAGGAAAGGAAATTGCAAATTAGCTTAATTCTGATAGCCTGTTTGTCTATTGTAACGCATAACTTCGATTCTATGATATTTACACTTTAGCTAACGAGACTGTGATTGCTTGCTTGACATGTTTGCATTAGTAATCTTTATGCTTTACTACTATGTTAACAGAGACATATCAATAACTTTATATGTCTGTATTACGGATCCTTGGTACTCTTATTTTAGGTTTTTCCATTACCCTGACCCTGTAGTTTTGTAGATTAGAAAATAAAAAAATTTTAAAGACAAATTGCAAGCACCACCCTGAACACTCAGGGGAAAAAAATGTTTGCTTTATACTGAGCATTCCAGTTTGTTCTCCATTGTATTTCTATCAAGCCTTCTGGCACCATGTATAGCTATTAGCTGAGCAATTCACAACCACTGGAAATACTGCTTGTCTTGAATTGTGGACAACTCATGAAAACCAGCATGACAGTGGAGGTGGAAGAGACACTCCCAAAGACTGGATTTTGGGTATAGTTCAAGGAGTGAGGGGCTTACAGTCTGCTGGAGTGAGAATGTCTGGGGGAGGGGGCCATAGCTCTGCTCATTGCTCCTTATTTAAGCTGCCTTTCTACCCAGGCAGGTCTTTGGTCTATCAAGGTCAATATTTCCTACTCTGACTGACAGCAGCCCCCCCGGGTCTCAGAGGTATTTCACATCAACTACTCCCTGATCCTTTTAACTGGAGATGGTGGGAATTGAACCTGGGATCTTTGGCATGCAGAGCAGATGCTCTGCTACTGAGCTGTAGACTCAGCCCTAAATTGAGAAGATCTGGTTCCTGTGCAGCCCAACAGCACCTCATAGGATGTAATCTGCAGTCTGCATTCTAGCTTCAAGCATCACCTACCTGGTCCTCATCATGGGGCCCCGGGGACCAAGCATGGCATCTCAGAACCTATACGACCCTTGGCTTTTGGCCTGCCTGCTTCTCTTTGGACAGTTTGGTACTCTGTGGGCAGCCTGAGCCTGCCTCCGGACGTCCTGGATGCCTGACTTGGACTGTACCTGTGGCTTTTGGCTCTCATCCAGCCTTCTGAAGAACTGACTAGTGCTGGATTTTGACATTGTCATCTCACCCTGGCATCCCTGCCTCTGCTCTGAGCAACCGTTTTCTAGAGAAAAATTGGGCACCATGCTGGCAAACATGTCTTGGTCTGTTTCAAAACCACCTAGAACAGGTTTGGGTTCACAGTGGCCCTGAGACAGTCTATATGAGGAAGGGGCCAGTGCACATTTTCATGTGTCTTGCTGGGATCCAATGGACTCCCCCTAGAAAAGCCACAGAATGGCAGCTTCCAGCCTCTGTCTTGGTCTCTTACCTCCCCTTTGCGGTAGACGTGCGGAAATGCAGATCGAGTAAAGAAAGGAAAAAAGCAATTTTTTTTGGCCGTCAAGTCACAGCTGACTTGCAGCCTCCCAAAGGGGTTTTCAAAGCCACAGACATTCAGAGGTGGTTTGCCATGGCCTGGCTCTGTGCGGCGACCCTGGTATTTCTTGGTTGTCTCCCATCCAAATATTAACCAGAGCTGACCCTGCTCAGTCCTGAGATCTGATGAGATTGGGCTAGTCTAGACTGTCAGGGGAAAAGCATACACGAAGAAATTATTTTAAATTCCTTTGGCGAGGAGGGATAGCTAATTACTCAGCAACAAAATTCAAGTGCTTAGAAAGGCCTGCCACAGTTCAGGTCATGCCCTGTTCAAGGCAGTCTTTGAAGTAGATGGTTAAATCAATCCAGGGCTTTTTTTGTAGAAAAGGCCCAGCAGGAACTCATTAGCATAACAGGCCACACCCAACAGCAGAAATTCATTTGCTTATTAGGACACACACACCCCGACAGCACAGCTCATTAGCACATTAGGCCACACACCCCATGTTCGCAGAAGTGTGGTTATCCAGACACACTCACCTTTTGCTTCTTATTCTGTTTACCTTGTTTGTTGTCAAAATCCAGGGCTTTTTTATAGCAGGAACTCCTTTGCATGTTAGGCCACACACCCCTAATGTAGCCAGTCCTAATGAGTTTCTGCTGTTGGGTGTGGCCTATTATGCTAATGAGTTCCTGCTGGGTGTGGCCAACTCGGGAGCCAGCCGGAACTCTGTTCCTGTGCGTTCCTGCCCAAAAATAGCCCTGAATTATCAATCCCAAATTATATAAATCTGTGATAAAGAAACTCTGTGTGTGTGTTTTTTAAAAAAACATTCTTGCCATTCTGTGTTTGTCTAAGTAAGTAGTCCTTCGCAACATTAGTGGCTGTCCATCTATTTAGATTGTCAGTGTTTTTGTCTATGCTCAGTTTTGGAGGGGGGGGGGAACCCCGACGCAAATCTGTTCGTTGGGCAATGCAGTCATTTGATGATGTACCAACCATACCTGGGGGTGGTGGGTTCGTGTTTGATCATCATCGTCATATCTGTTAAGTGTGACTGTTGAACACATTCACTATTTCATTGCATCCCTCCCTCCAAGTACTAAAACTACAGCTGAACATCTGTACGTTTCTGCCTTAAAACAAAGGAATAGGAAGGAGAGCCTAAGATGATGATGTTTCCATGGAAAAAATAAATAAATTTGTTAGACTCATCTTCCAGAACACCCAAT